TATAGTAAATAAAAAGTTGTACAACTTGTGCTATTTTTAAATTTTACTATGCACTGTATAGAAGATATAGATCATTGAACTTTAAATATTAAAAAAAAAATTCCTGCATAACTTTTCATACTTTATGAACTTGTTGCAATTACTTAGCAAATTTATTTCCCTTTTTTCATTGTAGATTCTGTTGCAATTGAAGCTGATATGCTCATTTGCCTTGTATACAGTGGCATTTGTCGGACATGGATTTTACCATACAAACAACCAGCAAATTTATCATTTTATTGATCGCGTGTCATAACACTACTTTTTTCTATTACCAGATGAAGTTTTGTTATCATTAATAATACTGTTAATTTTGTAGTGATTTTTAAAATGCCATTTCAAGAAAGTCGAAGCATTAATGTTCAGCAATGAATATAGTTATTGTGCTAATGAATATACTTACATTAACTATTAATATCATTAATTTTCTTATGCATATAGTTTAATCTGACTTCATCCTACATGATGATGCGGAAGTCACATGACTTCTGTGAGTATATTCATGGCTTTTGGCGGTAAAAGGGGTGGGTGTGCCATGTCACTGAAAAAAAGATGGCTGTCAGTCCTGTTAGATATTCTGTAAGCTCCTCCTCTTTCAACTGTACGCGCATAAGTAAAAGCCACTATCTCGGCATAGATTTTGGCCTCTAGTTCTTCAAAAGAACAAGCTAAAGCCACAAATTGAGCAGCAATGCTTTACACTGACATGGTAGCTACCTTATTGACTTTGATTATAGATCAAATGCACACTTTATTCCTTTTTGGAAAGAAGTACACCTGTGAGTTAAGCAACAAACCTTTGACATAAGGGACAATATCATTGTGGAGAGGTCTGACTTTTGAAGACGGTGGTGATTCACTATTTTTTATTCTAACTTGCAACATCTTGTTCTGCAAATTAACTCTTTACTATCACTAGTTCTGTCAGATTAATCATTAAAATTATAATATTAATACTGTTTTATCTGTATAATCATATTACTTTTAAAGGGTAAGTTCAATGCATTTTTGAGGTATTTTTTTATTTGCTTATTATGATTGCCTGACCATACTAATGATGTGTTCCAACTCCCATTGTCTAAAAAAATTATTGTCTGAAATATAAGCCTTCGAAAATGCCCATTTTTTCTTCCTGCCAGGTTACTTCTTGTCAGTGGGTGTGGCTAAACGCTACGTCACTAGAGGCATAGCTGCAGCTAAATTCATTCCTTTATAGGGGGAAGTAATCCTTCATTCTCATGCCTTGTAATGTAATAGCACTAATTTAAAGATTAGAATCATTAGCTTTCATTATTCTAAGCATGAAACTGCAAGAAAAGGACACAAAGTAGCAAACAAGAAGATTCACCAGTGTGGTATTATGACTCTTCATTGCTGTTTCATTCTTAGAATAATTAAAGCTAATGATTGTAATCTTTAAATTAGTGCTATTACATCACAAGGCATGAGAATAAAGGATTATTTCCTCCTATAAAGGAATGAATTTAACTGCAGCTATGCTTCTAGTGACGTCACGTTTAGCCACACCCACTGACAGGAAGAAACCTGGCAGGAAGGAAAAATGGGCATTTTTGAAGGCACATACTTCAGTAAATAATTTTTTTCAGACAAAGGGAGTTGGAATACATCACTAGTATGGTCAGGCAATCATATTAAGCAAATAAAAAAATACCTTAAAAATGCATTGAACTCACCCTTTAAAAATAAGAATAATAAAAAATTGATCATTACAAAAACAACATAAAACAATCAGTAAGTAAGAAACAAAAGTTGTAGAGCTGTTAATTTTGTACTAGTAATAGTACTCTCAACCGTGTTTTTACGGAGCTATTAAGGTACACACTAATATAACATTAAATTTAATAAACAAATCTACATGTAGACACTCTGAAAAAGGTAGTGTGATGCTTTTCAGGCAAAAATGCTCACAAGGCAAAACTCAACATTTGCAATGGTGCATGTCTCGTTATGTTAATGAATAAGCATCCATAAAGTACAAACTATGCTGTTTCATACAAATAATACCAACTGCACAACAAAATGATCATTACAAAATATAATATAGAATTAAAATCACATAGAATAATGTTCTTAAAAGCAGTTTTGAGACATGGAATGTACTGCATTTAAATTTTGTGCAAAAGTTTCATAACTACATGTATCTTATAATTAAATACCTAGGCCTACTTTAGAATTATTACTATTCTACTTGCCATAAACTCACAACAAATTGAGAGAAAAACAAGGCTCATTTAATGTAGTACATGGTTTACTGTAGTACATGGTTTAATGTAGTACATGGTAACATGCAAGTACAAAAAAATGAACAAGGAGTGTGGTCTGTGCATATTTCCGCCAATCCAATTTTCTCATTTCGACAAAAAAAATTGTATTTTTCTGCATAATTTAAATTATTTGGATTTTGAATTTTTAACGTCACAGCCGTAAATCCTATTTTACCAAAATTTCGAAATTTTAGAATTAAGGATTTTGCCTTTGCGATCGTTTGTGATTGCAATTCCTATTTCTCAATGTTTCCACAAGATAAAATGATTTCCAAAGTCCAATTTTTTCAGAAATAATGGTGAAACAGATATAAATCGTATTCCAAACGATGCTTACATTAGACTTTAATGCATTAACTTGGTTTTTGTTTTCTAGAAATTATTCAGTAGGATTTCAACATTGCAATCTCAATTCCTAGTCTTAAAAGTGTAACTTGATTTCCATAGTCCAATTCAAGAAAGACAATCAACTAAAATAGCTAAAGTCAAATGGAGTAGGCGTGTCTGTGAACACGCCCCTAACTGCCACCATAGACACCACTCCCCTACAACAATGGCGAAGTTGGAGCAGTTTGAAGACTTTATTAGAGACAGGATTGAGAAGGATAGATGGACACATGCTCAGCTTAGTGCTCATTTTCAGGCCTGCTATCCCGGACAGAAAGGGTTTAGTATTAGATCAATACAAAGGATATGCAGAGAGAAGGGAATATGTAGAACATCTTGAATTACTGATCAAAATCTTGATGATGCTGTATCGGAAGCAATATCTAAAGTAATAATATGTTAGATTGAAATACCAATTAGCATATAGGATTGTTATTTTGTTGGTATAAAATTTTGTGAATTTGTTCAGATTTGTCATTTGTTCTTGCATTTGTTGGTATAAAATTTTACATATATTACCTTTTGCATGCAGCCATTTTTCCTAGCATGCAGCACTTCTTTAAATTTTGCAAACTTACGAAATTAATTTACAGTGAAATATAAACCCTAATAGGGTATGTCATTATTATTAACAAGCCCCACACACGTGTGTTAATTATCAGCGCATCAGTGCAAATCTTGACGTCATAACTACGTAAAAGAAATATTTTAAAATCGTTAGCAACGCACATAGCAACCTAAACGTTTTTTTTAGAGAAGCATGTGACCATCAGGGGAAAACCCTTACATGTTTGATAATACTTTTGCTGAGTTGGTCGAAAGAAGAGCTTTCTTTTGGTACCTTGGACAAAGAGTTGTAGTCTTCTAGCGTTGGGTTTCGATCTGTTGAAAGTTACAGGAGAGGGCTGGTTTTTAAGAACACAGTGCCGCTCTGGAAGTTTTTCTGGTATTCAACTATTTAACAGGGAATCTTGAAATATTTCTTCTGAAGCTGATGTCAGTCGCTTGGCTTTTACAATTTTTTTTCATGAGGAAAGAAGCTGTTAGTTTTATTCATTTAATATACATGTATGATAACTAGTGTGTGTGCATGCTTATGAACTATTTATGCTGTGTCTAGTGCCTTTTTCTTCCTTTTTTTGATGGGAGGTGGTTCGAATGAAGCTGTTGATGGAAGTACTTGCATGTGGTGGTTATGTAGGACAACTTTGAGCCTTTCGACCCGATCTCGCATGTTGTTATATGCTCTTGCACATGTGTTGAAATTGGCATGCAAAGCTTCTGCACCTTGCTCGCCCATATAGCCACAACTAACTCGCCACTGCTTCAACCATGAAACTACATGTTTCTCCAACATGTGCATTTTTGGGATGCATGATGCTTCTGGGCATTTAGCTCGATAAAATTCCATAAATTTATCAATATGATGTCCTATAGTATAGTAATAACATTAAAATTAAACTTAATATTATTATACTTACCTAATAAATCTATCTCATCAAGTCTGCCCGAATCATATAGCTTGTGGCACTTGGAGAAGAGAGTAAAAGCTTCAATGAATGTCGCTAATAGTTGCTGAACTTTTGGTACCAGTGACAAGTCGTGTGTAGTGGCAGTGTCAACAACGCTCTTACACAAGGCTTTGATGTTGGCTGGCTACATGTAAATGTTTATAATGATTTAATTTATTTTTTGCATACTTTGAGGGCTTTGTGAACATGATTGCCAATAAAAGTGTCTCCATAGTATGCTTGTCGCTCTACACTAAAAGAACAAAGAGCCTTGTCCAATGACTTGACAAGCAAGCCATCCTCTTTGTCAAAGCCTTTTTTGATTATTTTTTGTTGTTGAGTAATTGAATTTTCCTACAAAGCCAAGTAACTGTAGCTATTGATTATACTCATAATCACTTACTATATTTGCTATTTTGCTTATATTTGTAGTCATCAGTTGAGACACCATTTGAATCATGCTGTTTTGTTGAGGATTTGAAGTGGTTAGTAGCAAGAGGACATACAATTGTTGAGCTTGTTCTAACTCATTGGATAAAGATGCTTTTTCATCATTAAGAGTAGTTACTCTAATTCGAGCCTGGTGATATTGCTGAAAGCTAGTAGAGGAGCTTTGTAATGACTGCTGTTGCAATGTGAAGAGCTGATCTAGATTGTGGCACTCCTCAAAAAGTGTAAATAATCTTCGAAATATTCCAAAGGTAATATGAAGTGCAGGAGGACAAACCTATTGTAACATAATGTTAGTTTTTGTATTATTTTACAGTATTTGTGTCAATGGAATGTCAAATATGACTTCTCCAATTACATTGCAGTGCAGTTTTGCTTTTCTCAAGCTACCACCATCACTCAAGAGTCCAGTGTACTTCTGAGAAAGATGATCTAGTGTACGGCTACTGATAGGTTGTCGTGATGACCTTTGGACATTCAGCTGATCAGATGTGATAGTACACCACAGATAACAATGGCGACCTTGTAAGTGTATGTATATTTGGCAAGGGTAAATTATATTATTGGTACTTATCACTAGCTCCTGAGATACCATAAATGTGACAAAGGAACTCATAGTCACCAGATACAAAGAGACGGATAGTATAGTTACTGTGAATATCAGGTATGTTGGCTACATCTACATATATTATATTGGCAGCTTACTTTCAATAGCTTTTTTGAATTTCTGATACCTGATCTTGAAATTTTTTTAAAGCAATATGCAGATTGGTAGCAGAATCTGGTGCCTCAAATGCAGCAAAGACACAACTGTTTCTGATAGAATTGGGCTTTTCTACATTAACAATTTGTATTGAGGCTTTGAAAGAAGTACCCCCTTTATCTCCATTAATTTTACCCATATTTCATTATGTGGTATAAGCCCATCATGCCATGTCAGTTGTCCCAACCTGTAATATTACATGTACAATGTTATATGGCAATGTTTCATTTATTGTAACATATTACCTCTGTTTTTCTTCAAGTAGATGAAAAAGAGTACTTTTGAGGTTGTTCACAAAAGCAAAAGGAGCAAGTCTCAGTTCCTGTCCGCCACTTCTTGTTCTGAAGCTAAAAGGAATCGATTCGCCTTGGATTTCCATTTCCATCAACATCGTTTTCAAAGCCCTGCGCTGTTTCTGTTCACTGGCAATGGACAATCCCCAAGATTTCATCCATCTATTAAGTGTAACTATAGTACCTTGTTTATATATTGTACATACCACCTTCTCATTATTCGTACCTTCCTCCAATGAAGGCAAAGATCAGATTTTAAAGCCAATCCCTGCTCAGCAGGCACAGTGATTGTAAAATCTGCTGCTTTCATTAATTCCTCGCGTTCCTCTGCTGGTAGCCTTTTAATCTCATCTGCCATCATGTTCTGCAGTGTCACCTACACTTAGTTGCTGTCTTACTGCTGACAACTGCTCTGCGCATTTTTGTTTTGTAAATCTTGAGGATTCTCCAGATGGTGTTTTAGCATTAGGGACTTTGATTAGATTTAAGGGCTAACAATAATTTTCATAAAATCTATTAATAAAAATTTAATGCTTACCCTCCCCCTTCTTAGCAATGTGACAGTACATGTTTCCCCTGGATGGTGAATGATCCTTGAGACCAGGCTTGCTGCTGCTCTCTTTTCTAGATTAGTTGGTTCTGCTTCTAGTGGTACCTGGATCAGTTCCTCCAGTGTTACTTTCTCTGTTGGTAAATAATAGTTGTTGCATCTGTCACTGGCTGATACAAGGTTCACAGGATGGCCACATGTGGTACAAGTAACAATTACTTCACTGAGTACTTTTTCAATGATGGGAGACACTTTGGAAAAGACAGAAGCAGCACTTTGATGAATTTCTGAACAACCAGGACATGTAAAGGTTACATCGGAAGAGACACTAACACAGCAGCTACAACAACCTAGTGACTTGCATGGCTGGATTTCGACTGGTCAGATCACAAAAGAATTACAGAAAACACAATTAAAATTTTCTGCATTCCTTGATTCTGGTTGAACTACATCAGATATATTGTATGCTGGAATATGGCTACTAACCGACTGTATGTGTTTTACAAGTGGTGATGGACGACCAGCCACAGATTTTTTTTTTTGGTCGGCCACCTATACACTTACTGTCACAAATATCACAAGTGTCATCACTATGAGCAAGCCATTCCACAGCAGTACACTTTGATGATGACCCTTGCTGCTGTATACTGATTCTCCTTGCTGTCAAGTAACAGCTATTACAGAAATAACTGGGATGAATCAATTGATCATCAGTACTAACATCTAGTCCAAGTAGATGTAAAGTGTTGCTGTGTGATCTAGTACAGTATTTGGTTGTGCCTAGCCTTCTTCCGCATATCCTACAGTGCTGATTCAAATACTCCAGGTGCTGCATACTACTAAATGTAGGCATAATTTTAAATATTATTTTTGTGACATAAAAAATGTAAAAGGCTAAAAATTCTAACTGTTATGTTCATTAACTCTTAAGGTTGGTTTAGAATTTACGTTGGTAGTTGCGTTGGAATAACAGTTACGTGACGTACATTACAGAAATTGGTTCACAACTATTATGATTTCGTCAAAGCAGTGACAATTTTTAACCCCTTGTAGTTGTAAGCTACTCTATAAAATGGTGGATATTGGAGCAGATGACCTACAGCTTACTTTGTTATTATGCCTTTTACTTCAGCGCAGAAGGATACGGAAAAGAGGCTGAGAAGAATTTGGATTCGTCCTATATTTGCCCTTCGTAGACAGCAGGGAGAATATTACAATTTACTTCAAGAGTTGAGGCTCAGCCTGTGATCCTGATTCCCACTTTCATTACTTAAGAATGTCAAAGGAGAGGTTTGACTATATTCTATTTTAAGTAAGTTTATGTGATATGAGATTGTTATAATTTTTATAGGTCAGCCCACTACTGACACGCCGCAATTATTATTCAGTCAGGGCTGGAATTAGTGCAGCTGAGAAGTTGGCACTAAGACTAAGGTTTCTTGCTACTGGCAACTCCCAGGTTGAACATTTGCTTCTATTTTAAATTTACTGTTTTTGTTTTAATTACATTAGGTATCTATGTCATTTAGCTTTCGAATTGGTAGAGCTACTGTGTGCTTCATTCTGAAGTAAACTTGTGAAGCTATTTGGACGGTTCTTCAACCAT